CTTACGTGCCCCAAGTAGGGCTTATGCCACTAGTAAGTAGTCACTGGAAGGAAGATGTTAGCAGGCAGTCCTTGCTGAGGAGACAGACACCTTTGCTGTTAGGATGACAGACAGGGTAAATGGAGTTGAGTACAGAACATCCTGAGCCCTCTGGGAGGAGCCAGAATGATAAGGCGGGACTAGTGATTCCTGGAGAAGGAATCCAGAGAGCAGCACAGAGGCTGAGGGAGTGGGAAAGAATAGTTTGGGGAGAGTGTTTATATGAATAGCATAAGGATATAGCAAATTACTGAGGAGAGATGCTGATGAGCTGGGCTGGTTTATGCTGAAGGAGACACTGAAATGCTGGAAATAAAAATGGCTTGATTGGCCTTTGGAATGTAAGTTTTGCTAGGTGCTGGCAGAATGGGCTAGAGGATGGATTGCAGCAGAGACGCGTTTGTTTGAGTTAATAAAGTGATCCTTAGAAGCCATAAGGATGAAAGGGGTGTGGCTCAATTTGTGGAAAGTCCTGGATGGAATCCCAACACTCAGGAGAGGCAGGAAGTACCATTTTTAAAATGTCCTGATGAAGTTTCATGTTTTGAATGTTAATTTAAGGAACAAAAGGGGCTGGAGAGATGGCCCAGCAGTTAAGAGTACTGGCTGATGTACCAGAGGACTCGGGTCCAGCTCACAGCCATCTGTACCTCTAGTTCCAGGGCATCTGATGCCCTCTTCCACCCTCCACAGCACAACACCCATGCACATAAAACTAAACCTTGTTTTGGCTTTTCTAGACAGGGTTTCTCTGTGTAGCCCTAGCTGTCCAAGAACTCACTCAGTAGACCAGACTGACCTTAAGCAAACTCAGATCCACCTGTCTCTGCCTCGCTGAGTGCTGGAATTAAAGGTGTGTGCCACCATATCCAGGGTGACTTTTTTTAACATACGGACCACAGCATGGTAGTTTGTAGTGAAAGCGGGAAGGAGTGGAGAATGAGGGCCACAGCGTCGTGGTGAAAATGAGAAGGATGGCAGGTGCTGGTGGCGCACACCTCTAATCCCAGTGCTTGGGAGGCAGAGGCAGGCGGAGCTCAAGAGTTCAAGCCCAGCCTGGTCTACAGAGTGAGTTCTAGAACAGGCTCCAAAGCTACTCAGAGAAGCACTGTCTCAAAAAAACGAATGAATGAAAAAGAAAAGGAAGTTTGAAGGACTAGAGATGGCAGAGATACTTACTAGGAAGAGGTGACAGGTTTTGAAAGCTGAGGGTGATATGAAGATAAGGGGTTGGTGATGGTTGCCAAGACTCTGGCTTAGACATTCGTCAGGTAGACATGGAGGACTACTGAGCTTACATCTGGCACATAGGGATGTCAAGAAGAGGTTCCTTGTTTGATTCTGGGCTAGAGGTACCACCATGCTACCCCTCTGTGTATTGTCTCTACAGAATCACCGAAGACTCCGCTGTAACTACATTTGAGGCCCTGAAGGCTCGTGTCAGGGAGCTTGAACGGCAGCTATCTCGGGGGGACCGATACAAATGCCTCATCTGCATGGTGAGTGGGAAGGAACCAAGGCATGCTCTTGGTCAGCACCAGTGCCTTGTGGGTGTTAGGGGGGTCTTGGCTGTATTTGGGCCTGCTTCAGTGATCCCTTCTCTGCCCACCTCCTCCTAGGACTCATACTCGATGCCCCTAACGTCGATCCAGTGTTGGCATGTGCACTGTGAAGAGTGCTGGCTGCGGACTCTGGTGAGGACTGGGTGGGCAGCTATCAGAGTAACTGCCCAGATGTTCGTGTCTGTAGCTGCATCTGCTTGGGGAGTTAAGGATTCATCGCGCCCCCCCCCACATTAATACATTGTTCGCACTCTCACTTTGGGTTTATTCAGTTCTCTCCTCCCTGGACTCAATGCATGTTCCCTTCTTCCCAGCCCAAGAAGGCCTGGGTGTATACATGTATTGGTGAGACCCCAGATCAGAAAGAGGCTGCTGGTGGGTAAGCCAGACCAGGGCTTCTGCCCCTCCCCCTCCCATTACTAAGCTCCTTCTGCTCCTGCCCTGTTCTTAGCTCGGGAGCAGCCATTAAAATGTCGCCCGGAGACAGCAATAAAAGGCCCGGACGTGGGCTCTGTGTCCTGATCAAAGGCCGCGTGTAATCTCGTTAGGGCCGAGGCAGCCACAGCTGGACCCAGCCTTGTTCTCATTACCAGGGCTCCTGCTGCGGGGCTGGCCAGGCGGTTTGATCCTGGCGTCTCCCCAACACAGGAGCATGTCTGCCTGCTCAGAGGCAGCCCGTGCATCCCTAGCCTGGCTGACAAGAATGAGGTCCCAGCACAAAGTGGTGAAGAGACATGGCTGCGGGCCCAGTGCTCATGTGCAAACACAGGTCACGCTGTGTCTAACCGAGCCCTCCCCTTTTTTCTCTCTTCAGGGTGCCAAGAAGCTCTGCCCTCAGTGCAACACCATCACAGCTCCTGGAGACCTGCGGAGGATCTACTTGTGAGCTAGCCATCCAGACAGGCCTTGCGTTGAGCAACCCCACCTGCCCCAGCCTCTGTGACAGTGAACCCCTCTCCCTTTGTACATAATTGCGCACAGGTTCCCCGTGTACATACATGCACATACACACCCAAACACACATATAGGACTCTGGAGCCAGAGTGGAGCAGCCCTTCCTGCTTGCTCCTCCTGAACTTGGGGACCATGCCTCTTTTGGCTCTGTTTCCAGTGAGGGGCAGGAAGGTAGGGATGGGGAGTAGCAGGGCAAGGCTCTTGAGCTCCATCCCCAGACTGACTGACAGACATGCAAACACCAGACTGAAGCACATGTAATATAGACTGTGTATGTTTACAATGTTGTGTATAAATGGGACACTTTGCCCTCCGCCACCTCCCCTTTGGTTGTACGATTTTCTTTTTTTATGAATCCTGGAAGCAGTGCCCCCTTCAGGGCTGGCTGGGGGCTCGGCCCATCCAACTCGTAAGGTGCCTGCCTTTTCCTCTCCCGTGGCCTCCCTCCCCTTTCCCATGTGCTCGGTGTTCAGTGGTGTATATTTCTTCTCCCAGGCGTGGGCCATGTGCCCCAAGGGATATGATCCTCTCCTTAGTCTTAGCTCATGGGGCTCATTATAAGGAGCTGGGGGTAGGGTGGAAAATGGGACCGAGCAGAAACAGAGGCTGCAGTCCGGCTGGCTGAGGGTGCTTGGCTGCCCAGCCTGCTGTTGAGACAACTCCTGGGAGTAGAACGCTGTTCCTAGGGGACGTGCTGTCTCCCCTGCCCTCCTGTGGGCCCTATGGTGTGATGCTGTGTCTGTATATTCTATACAAAGGTACTTGTCCTTTCCCTTTGTAAACTACATTTGACATGGATTAAACCAGTATAAACCAGCTGCTGTCTGTGTGTGAAAGGGGTGGTGACTGAGGCAGTTATGAGGGTCATGCTGCAGCGTTTCACTGTGGTGAAGCCATGCAGGGGTGGTGGACGCCCTGGAGCATCCCAGCAGGTGTTGGGGGGAGATCTGGGCTCCTAGCTATTGATGGGTAGGGGCTCTAGGTTAATTCCTTATCGATGCAAAATCGTCAGCTCATTAATCACAAAAGAGGTCAGAGCTTGGGGTACGGAGGGGGGATACAAGCTCTAGTCCCCAACCTAGGGCAGAAGCAGCTACAGACGAGTGAAACAGGCTCTGGGTCACCTGCTGAGCTTCCTGGTGCCCTGTCGCCTGGTCTACTTCCTGCCTGGTTCATGTGAAGGACTGCTATTAGGACTGCTGATGGAGCGAGCACCTTGGTAATTGGCTCCACAACCTTGCGCTGCCAGTGAAGTAACCGAACACCTTCCAGGCAGATGCTTAAAGGTTCAAGTGAGCCCTCACCACAGAAATGTCTTGAAGAAAAACTGGGGGGACTCAAAGGCCAGGATCCAAATTTCTTGACACATTTTCACAGCAAGATACACCTCCCTCCTCACATCCCTGCTTTAGATACCCACTTCTGGGAGGCCCACAACATACAGAAACCGGGTCTGGTTGGCAGCTCCTGCCTCCCTTTGCATCCAGCAAAGAAGACAAGACCTTGTCGTAACCCATCATGGCCCTCATGCCCTGTGCTTGGTGGCACCAAATATCCTGAGCACAGCTTCTAGGGTTTGAAATCCAGACTGCATGGCTTCCGCTGAGAAGCGAAGCCCCAACCCTGACCATGCCTGGGAAAAGGTAGCCTGCTTCAGTGGATCCTTCTGGGCAGCCAGACTTCTTTTACGTCTCTGCTCTCCCCTTCCTTGCCTTGGACATAGTGGGTCCTTGGCAGCTGCTTACCCCACCCTGGGGGCCAACTACTCTTTAATAGGGAAGGCAGGTTCAACACAGTGCAGGCATTCTACTAAAGCATGCCTTAAGCTGTCTTACGGCACGGGCAACACTGCCACCTGTTGGCCATGGCTAAGAATGCAACCACATCTCCAAGAACTCAGGAAAGTACTGAGAAGTAGAGGTTTGATTCCCTGCTAATAGAGTTGGCCTCTGGAGACTTGGGGTATATCACTCAAAGAATATTAGGGGTCTCTTCTCAACCACAAATTTCAAACTGCTTGCCAAACTTTGAAAGCCCTTCTCTGAAACACAGAAGGTTCATTGAATCTACAAATATTGGATACCTAACTTAACTGTGTGCCAGAATGATGCCATCATGACTTGCAGCACAGTAGATGGTACGACCTATGGGTACAGCCATCTTTCCCGCTGGGGGCTACTGAGTGGGAGTGTCCTTTAGGAAATAGATGTTACTTCAGCCTGAATTCCCCGACCCTGGTTCTAGCCTCCTAGACATGTCCTCCCCTTCACTGAGCATGGCAGCCTTTCTGCTCTCCACTTAATCTTCCTCTTAATACACAGTCATCAGATCCCTCCAATTCAATGGCTCCCTAACCAAGTGTGTGGCACCAGGCAGGCCCCAAATACCCAAATCCTCAGACCTCACCTGATATCTGACCACAAGGTCACAGACAACCTCTCCAAGTGACAGGCCAGGTAGGAATAGTGTTTAATGTGGGGCTTTGTCCTTCAAGAGACAGCTCTGCTCCCCAGACTCTCTCTGCTACTTAAGGTACCTTCCATTCAAGAAATGAAAATCCAAGCCAGGCATGGTGGCATATGCCTGTAATCTCAGTACCTGGGAGGTAGAGACAGGAAGATCAGGAGTTCAAAGTCATCCTCAGCTACATAGTGAGATTGAGGCAGCCTGGCTACATCTCTCTCTCTCTCTCTCTCTCTCTCTCTCTCTCTCTCTCACACACACACACACACACACACACACACACACACACACACACACCTACCTACCTACCCAAACTCAGTTCTTAGAACAAGAATAAAACTTCAGTTAACCCAGATGATTACGTTGTAGATCATGCAAAGTAACTAAGAACTGGGGGTCTGCTATGCACACTGTACACATAAGTACTGTGTACCCACAGTTAACAGTGGGGTCACTGACTACACATCTGGAATTTTGTTAAGAGCTCCCACGTGAAAGGTTCTTACACAATCCAGGTGTGTGCAGCTACACCTGTGTGCAAATGCACTGAAGACCAGAGGTCCACCTGGGGTCTCAGACACCAATTACCTTGCCTATCGAGACAGGTCCTGTCACTGGCCTGCGGCTCACCACTAGGCTAGGCTAGTTGGCCGGAAAGCCTCCAGGCACCTGACTATCTCCACCTCCTCAGAGGTGGGATTTTAAGTGTGTGCCACTGTGCCTGGCCTTTTCTTCTTTAAATGTGAGTTCTGGGTTTGAACTCAAGACCACAGCCAGCACTTTTCAAACAACTCTGGGGTTCAGCCTCAAGCCATTCACCCAACACACAAACTGTTAGCCTTTTACAGCCCAAACACCGTAAGAACATTGCACTTGTCCAAATAACTGCAAGCCTGCCCAACAGAAACTTGCCCTGGCACCCCCACCCCAGAGTCTGAGGGAGCAGCCATGCCAGCAGTCCTTCAGGACAGATGTAGGTCGAAGGGAGGCGCCGGCGTTTATTTCTGGAGCAGGACCTCAGCACTGGACACAGTTATGCATGAAGTCAACACACAGACTTGTATAGTAAGTAGGATAGTCACGGAGGTGGCTGACGTGTGCCGATGACACAAAGTCCACCGAGCGCACCAGGACCTGGTGAGCCACGCGTGCCTCTACCATGCGTTCCACGTCGCTGGCCGAGACCACCGCGTCAGCTCTGGAGTAGAGGTAGAGCTCAGGCCAGTGGGAGCCTGAGTCCTGCAGCCTGTCATAGAAGTGGGTGTGGAAGAGGGCGGCGAACGGGGCAAGCAGGAAGTGCAGCAGGACGACCACCAAGGCAAAAGCCACCAGGAGCAGCAGGCGCAGCACCGCAGGCCGGCGCTCCAGGATGGTTGCCAGGGCCCTCAGGGCCCCTACCAGGTTGCTATCACCAGGACCACTGTCAAAGACGGTGCCCACCACATGCAGGTGGCGGAAGCGCTGATGGGTCTGGAGGAGTTCCAGCACGTAGCGGTAGAGCATTACGCCAGCATTACTGAAGACATGGAAGAGCAGAGGCTCCCTCTCAATCTCGTAGTCAAAGAGGAGCTCGAGCAACTTCTGGGCCATCACACGAAGGGAGGGGATGCCCAAGGACTCAGAGAAGAAGACCATGTGCCAGGGAGCCGTGTATCGGATCACAATGCAGCCCTGGAGAGACGAGAGGGACCAGGTCAGTCCCAGCATACGGCGGGTGATGGGCACAAGTGAGTCAAAGGAGCCCAGGAGCTCCAATTTCCACAGTTCTGTTGTAGCTAGCTCTCCAGCTGCAGGTACAGGAGTGGAGGCACCCTCAAGGCCTGTTGTTGTTTTGTTGGTAGTGGTAGGGTTTTTGTTTTGTTTGTGTTTTTTCAAGACAGGTTTTCTCTGTGTAGTACTGGCTGTCTTGGAACTAGCTCTGTAGACCAGGCTGGCCTTGGATTCACAGAGATCTGCTTGCCTCTGCCTCCCAAGTGCTGGGATTAAAGGCGTGCTCGAGGCCTGTTTTTGAACGCCCTGCTTCATGCCGTCCATGCCTCCTCAGCCTGGGATGGTATTTGAAGCCTGGAGCTGATAGCATGCTTTGGAAACATGTGATCCAACCAGAAGAAAATCTCTTCACTCTAGTTCCCTCTATGGCTGTCCTCCTGACCAACCCAACCCCAGAACTTGCATAATTAAGGCCTTGCGACTTGGATATACCATGTTGTGGCTACTTTGTACCCCCATGAGACAGAGAAGGCATGCAGATCCCAGCCTCAACCACCAGAGGGCGCTTCTGAGCCAGACAGAAGTCCTGTCCTCTTCCCTGTTGCAGTGGGTGCCCTGAAAACAAGAGTCCACACTGTTTGGTTTGGGGATCTGATCTTTAATTATATTTGATTCCTGGACTTAGGATCACTCCTCACACTCACCTTGAAGTCCCAAACCAGAAGTAAAGAGAGAGGAGGAAGGGAGGGAAGAAGGGAGGAAAGGAACAAAGGAGAATAGAAACAAAATGAAAGAAATTCTAAATCCAGAAAACAATGTTGCTCTTAAATCAAAAAATCTAGGCCAAAGCTCACTTTCAGCTTCCATACCCTTATTGCCTGTGTCAAGTGTACCACTAACCCTCTGGACAGGTCCCCTTGAAGGTCAGATGGAGGAAGCACCAGACACTACTCTGGGCCTTAGCCCCTCTTATTAATTTGTTCTAGAGACAAGAAGTCTCTCTGCCAGGGGCCCTGAGTTGGGCAGGCTTTGGGGTCAGATAGGTCTGCACTTAATTCTTGGTCCCGCCACTTATTAACTGTCTGGGCAAAGAGTAATTTACTTCTTTCTCTGTCTGTGTCCCCATCTATAATTGGGATGACACCCACCTCAAAAGGTTATGGTAGAAGTTAAATGAAAAAAATGTATCTCAAGTGACAAAAACAGCACCTGGTACAAAGTGAATCCTCATAGCAATAAGAAGGGGGGAAGTGTGTGGCCACAGTTCTCTGATGAGCCAAGCAGGAGAGGCCAGCCATGGTCACCAGCCATAGACCCCTGAGTTTCTAGCCATGGGGGTGCTAAAAACTCCGAAGGGGTGCCTGAAGGCCACCCATACTCCCAAATTGTTACACCTGATAGAGGCTTTATAGCCCCCCTTTCTTATTCCCCCAGCAGCAGGTGGGACTACACACTCTAACATATATTCCCTTACTGCCCAGTCTTCAGTAAGCCAAAAGCAAGGACCTTTTTAAATCACAAGAAAGAATACAGAGATAAGGAACAAGAGAATTAACTGCAGTGTGTGACCCTGGATTGGACTCTGGGGTTGGACAAACCAGCTGTATAAGATGCCTTGGGAACATGCTACTTGGGTATCCAGACACGGACTAGATAAAATGAAATATGCAACGACATGCAATGATCATGGACATGCAACAAAAACTTACTAACAGGACACGATGGAGTTCATGGTCTAAAAGGTATACAGAGAAAACCTAGATGGAGACACCCTTACAGGGTAAGCCGGGGCAATCTCTAGATGGTAGAATAAGGAGTTATTTTCTTTCAAATAAAAAAGTGGGAGTTTTAGACTGGAAAACTTTTTCTTCACACCCATCTTCTCCTTGCTAGGGGTAAAGGCAGCCCTTCCTCCCCGAGGCTGCCCGTGCAGCTGCCCTGACAGCTCAGCTCCTGTCTTCCCTGGAACCTTCCATTGACTTTCTTCCTCCCACTCTCTGTCCATGTAAGAGCCTCACTCTCTGCAAAAGCGACCTTCCCAAGTGTCTTCTATGCTAGCTGGGCGTTGGTGGCGCACACCTTTAATCCCAGCACTCGGGAGGCAGAGGCAGGCGGATCTCTGTGAGTTCGAGGCCAGCCTGGTCTACAAGAGCAAGTTCCAGGACAGCCTCCAAAACAATACAGAGAAACCCTGTCTCAAAAAAAAGAAAGAAAAAAAAAAGAAAGAAAAAAAAGAAAAACAGAAAAAAGATTCATTTACTTCTGCTTCCCAAGAGCTTGGCTTTAAGGCATGTGCCATCGATGGATTTTCTTAGTAGCAAACCTAGCTTTACAATCCTACTTAATCCTCTGAGGACCAGGCCCTGGTGTCACTGTAAGCACATATACCTTGTACCCCTTCCTGAAGGCTGCTTTGAGAAGATGGGGCTAAACATACCCTGACCCTCCTGGGACACCTGCTAGTCACAACTTCCACACCTACATTTTAGAGTGGCCTAAGACGTGTGACTCTTCTCCAAGAAACCCTCTGATCCTGGGAATGGGGAAGGGAAGGTGCTGTCGCTCTGAAGCTTACCTGGTTAGAAAGGAAGGAAGTCCTAGAAAACTATGCCCGGTGCACCCTGTCCCGGCTCCTGCCATCCAAAGAGGCATGAATCAGGATATGGGGTGTGATTTTTTTGTTTGTTTGCTTGTTTTTCGAGACAGGGTTTCTCTATATTGCTTTGGAGCCTGTCCTGGAACTCACTGTGTAGACCAGCCTGGCTTCGAACTCACAGTACTGGGATTAAAGGTACCAACACCTGGCTATGGGGTGTGATCTTACTTCACAACCAGGGAACAAACCCATCAAGGCCGTGGGGAAGAAGAAACGGGGAAACGGGACTGAAGCAGCTACGTGAGGACCTGGCATGATGCTGCCGTCCTCACAGTCTGCTGGTACTGCTCTAGGGCTGCCCAAAGGTGGTCAACCTTTGCTCCATCCCAAAGGTGAACCAGCCAAGCTTAATGCTCCCCACAAAGCAGCAGAGTAGCAGAGGCCCACATCCTGGTTGAGCACTTGCCCACAGTACTCACCCTTTTGTGGTAGATGGCGCTATACTTGGCCAGGTTCTTGTCCCTGCAGCCACCCCAGCCCAAGAGAATCACCACAGGCAGTCGCTTCCTGGCCTCCTTCCCATCTTGGCTGGGGTTCTCTGAAACATAGATGGGACTGTCAGCACCAGAGGCAGGACTGCATTTCTGACCAATCTAGAGCTGTGGGCAGGAAATCAACAGGGGTTCAATCTCCATGTGGGTCCTGCCCCCATCCTCTGACCAGCTAGCTGTCTTTTTGTAGACCTCTGTGGAGGCACCATGGCATTACTGAGAACACCCACATTTAGTAGCTCCCAATCCCCAGAAAATGAAGTGAATGCCCTTTCCAGACAACATCACCTTTCAGTCCAGGGAACCACGACCTGTGTGCTAAATCAGACTGTTTTCCTTTCATTTTAAAACACTACATTGATTTCTTTGTGTGGGAAGGGTTATGGGTGCCAGAGTGTTTGGAGGTCAGGGAATGACCTTCAGAGTTGGTTCTCCTTCTACCACGTGGGTCCTGGGGATCAAACTCAAGTCATCAGGCTTGACAGCAAATACCTTAACCACAGAGCCATCTCATCAACCCACTGTTTCCCTATGGTCTATAAGCTAAAATGGCACAGGTGTTTGTGGCGTGTGCACTTGTCCATGTGGCGTGTATGTGCATTGTGGATGCTAGAGGTCAACACTGGGTATCTTTCTCAATCATTCTCCACTTTGTTTGTGGAGACAGTCTCTCAGTGAGCTTGAAGTTCACTGATTCATGTAGGCTGGCCAGCCAATGAGCTCCAGGACCCACATGCCTTTGCTTCCCTCCACACTGGGGTCACAGATGTGTCTGCCCAGTTTTGATAGAGGCACTGGGGATACGAACTTAGTCCTCAGGCTTGGACAGCAGCTACTTTACCCATGAGCCACCTCCCAGCCCCCCAAACGGTTTGTTCATGCTTGTTACTGTTTTGTTTTACATTGCTGGAGATCAAACTGAGGGCTCCACAGTGCTCTACTGAGCTACCTCAAACCTGGGCTTTTTCTTTTCTTTTTTCTTTTTTTGAGACAGAGTTTTACTATAGCCCTGGCTGGCCTAGAACTCGCTATATAATAGATCAGGCTGGCCTCAAACTCACAGAAATCCATGTGCTTCTAACCTCCTGAAACTAAAGGCATACACCACCATGCCAGGACCCCACACTTTTACATTTTTAAATGAGTAGAAAAAACATCAATGTGGTGACACATGTTTATAATCTAGCACACAGGAGGACTGAATGGCAGTGAGCAGCCTGGGCTACAATGAAACCACAGTCTTTAAGAAATCACAATAAAATCATATGACATTTTAATTCCTGTGTATATAGCTGGGCATGGTGGCACATGCCTTTAATCCCAGCACCCAGGGGACAAGCACATGGATCTTTGGGAGCTGAGGCTAGCCTGGTCTACAAGAGCTAGTTCCAGGGCAGCCTCCAAAACAATACAGAGAACCCCTGTCTCGAAAAACCAAAAAGAAAAAAAGAAAAAGAAGAAGAAAAACCAAAACTAACAAATAAATAAATCTGTAAATCTACAAAAAGTCCTATTTGATGTCTGGAACTGCAGATCAGTGACAAACAGCTTGCCTGGCATGAATACAGCTGTGGGTTCACTCTCATCACGTGAGTGTGCATGCAGAGGAGCACACAGTAGCCTGGACGTAGCTCATTTAGCAGAGTGCTGGCCTGACATGCAAGGCTGTGGGTTCAGTCCCCGACACCATAAACCCAGCACGACAGCCCTTGCCTGATATCTCAGCACTTGGGAAGTGAACCAGAGGGATCAGAAGTTCAAGGTCATCCTTGCCCACATAACAAGTTTGAGACTAGCCTTTACAACATGAGACCCTGTCTATAAAGAGTTACATCGGAACACAGCCATTCTCACCCGGTTTAGCCATTGTCAATGGCTATCTTCAGATGAACACAACACAGAAGAGTGGCTCCAAAGAGATGGATGGCTCACAAAGCCTTAGGCACTACTGTCTCTGCAGAAAAGGTTGGCTAGTGTCTGTTCTAATCTATGAACAGATGGAGGGAAAAGATCTAAGAGGAAAACTTGAAGGGCTTAGGGCAAAGCTCAGATGATACAGTGCTTGCCGCGCATGCTCAAGGCCCTGGGATCGACCCATAGAACCACACCTATAATCCTAGCTCTCCAGAGGCTAGACAATCAGAAGTTCAAGCTCTTCATCAGCTACAATGTAAAGTCAAGATTCAAGGCCAGCCTGGGGTACATGAGACACCCATCTCAAAAAAGTAAAAATAAAATAACAGGACAAAAGACCTGGGTAAAACTACTTAAGCAGGGACAGGAGGCTGATGGCCACACTTTCCCTGCTGTCAAGAGACTACTATAGCCTGTATTCATGGAAGTTTAGCCCCCATAACACCATGGGGCAGGTATGTTGTGTCTACTTCCGATCCTAAGCACGTGCGCGCGCACACACACGCGCACACACGCACACATACACACACACACACACACACCCCACACCCCGACCCAGGTTAGCCCCATCCACAGCCGGAAGCAAGCCTCCTTCGGTGATATACTTAGGAATTCAAGCTGCCGGCACTATGCCTGTCTAAAGAGGCCTTCCGAAAACCATGTCCCATCTACCCTGCAAGGTGAGTGCCACCCCCCTATGCAGGCATTTGCATAAGGACTGTCTGTAGCTAGACAGCCAGCCTCTAAAAAGGACTGGCGTGTACGCACCCTTCCAAGGACCAAGCCGCTTGGCTATGCTCATCTGACACCTGAAATTTATTCATGCTGGTGGTGACCTGGCAACAGTAAATTTCAAGGCCAGTTAGAAGATGGTAAATATAAATCACTAACCTTTGGACAAAAGGAAGACAACAATTTCCTGTGGAAATTAATGTGATTGAAAAGTTCAATGTTCCTGCTCTCCGGTAGCGGTGACTCTGGCCTTCAGAGATTAACTGCCCGCACCCGCAGGGCTCTAGGCCAGACGGAACAGCAGCTGCCAGACCCTCAGTCCCTGGCTGACACCCGCCATCCCTCCCAGGCTTACTAACTCGGGTGGGTGGCTCCAAGCAGTCACAGCCTTTCTTGTCCCTGTGCCCCTGTCTTCTGCCAGGGCAGCCCCTCAGGACCTGTTCTATGTGGGTGGGGACCAGCACCACGAAGCTCAGGCAGCTTCAGGCTCCTGGGTTAACAAACAGTTACCCATTCCCACCAAATGTCCCGTACATTGGTGTTTTGCCTGCATGAATGTCTTTGTGAGGGTATTGGATGCCCTGGACCTGGAACAGGAGTCACAGACAGTTGTGAGCTTCCTTGTGGGTGCTGGGAATTGAACTCGGGTCCTTTGGAAGAGAAGTCAGTGCTCTTAACACTGAGCCATCTCTCCAGCCCCAGAAAAGGCATTTCTAAACAGAGATTTGAGCAGGGCTTCCAAACTGCCCTTTCAACACAGGGCTCTAGAACTCTGCTCAGCTCTGGGGCAATATCTGTTAAGTCCCTTAGGAGATGACTCTCAAGATGTTCATCTCTATGAGGGCACAGTACCCTGGACATCCTGCCCACTCCCAGAGCCCAAGCACTCCCTTCAGAGAACCGGTCTCTGCTCTCCAGCGTCTGCACCCAACATGCTCTTCACCAGGTGTGGGGAGTGCACACCGCCCCTCTGTAGCTCACATTTGCTTTAGCTTCTCTGTGGCACTGGGAATGGAACACAGTGCCATGTGCACGGTAGGCAAACATTTTAGCACTAGGCTTTACCCACAGTTGTTCCTTTGGATTCTATAAAGGAACCTTTAAAATATGGCTTGGAAAGTGCTAGTGGCCAAGAAAAGTCTGCCTGAGGAAGTCACATTCCCTACTGTGGCCTCAAAGGTCCAGTGGGGGCATGCAGGGTGGACAGAGGACACGGGCAGGGCAGGGCTGACATAAGCCATCTGGGCCACAGTAAGCAGTCCTGGTGCTGGGACCCCGGAGGACAGAGAACAATGGGCGAAAGAGCAGCAAAGAGTGGGACTGGGGGGTTTATTCCACAGCAATAAAGAGTGAATGAAAGTTCTGTAATGGGAAAGTGGTATGATCCAATCTGTTGCTGATTAATGTAGACTTACACAACTGTTTAATGTCTGTCACTCTCCCCTAACCCAGTGGTTCTGCAATGCAGGACGTGCATCTACCTCATTTATTACCACAGGCCCAGTGGGCGCCACCATGCTGGCCTGCACAGGAACTCAGCAGTTATATGATTATCACACCCACCCCAAAATCAGACTAGTTATATGATTATCACACCCCATCCCAATCATCAGACTAGTTATATGATTATCACACCCATCCCAAAATCAGACTAGTTATATGATTATCACAACCATCCCAATCATCAGACTAGTTATATGATTATCAAAACCATCCCAATCATCAGACTAGTTATATGATTATCACACCCATCCCAATCATCAGACTAGTTATATGATTATCACACCCATCCCAATCATCAGACTAGTTATATGATTATCAAAACCATCCCAATCATCAGACTAGTTATATGATTATCACACCCATCCCAATCATCAGACTAGTTATATGATTATCAAAACCATCCCAATCATCAGACTAGTTATATGATTATCACACCCATCCCAATCATCAGACTAGTTATATGATTATCACACCCATCCCAATCATCAGACTAGTTATATGATTATCACAACCATCCCAATCATCAGACTAGTTATATGATTATCACAACCATCCCAATCATCAGACTAGTTATATGATTATCACAACCATCCCAATCATCAGACTAGTTATATGATTATCACAACCATCCCAATCATCAGACTAGTTATATGATTATCACAACCATCCCAATCATCAGACTAGTTATATGATTATCACAACCATCCCAAAATCAGACTAGTTATATGATTATCACACCCATCCCAATCATCAGACTAGTTATATGATTATCACACCCATCCCAATCATCAGACTAGTTATATGATTATCACAACCATCCCAATCATCAGACTAGTTATATGATTATCACAACCATCCCAATCATCAGACTAGTTATATGATTATCACACCCATCCCA